CACTGAAGAGCCCCAGGCAAGGAACAGGACCCTTTTGTGCTATGGGCTGTACATACCCAGATCAAAACTGTGATCCTTGACCCCAAGAAATTAAGCATTGCAAATGCATGCATATTGCCAGCTAAAATATGACTCCTTCCAGACTTGCAACCAGCTGAACTATAATTTCTGACATGAGACCTCATTCATATTTAGGACGGAGGCATAGTGAATAAACTCAACAGAGCTGAAGAGATGGACTTAATTAATAGATTATCATTCTTTTAATTGAAAGAGCTGGTGATTTGGTCCCAAGTGGACAAACAAGGTTTTGGTGCTTGGATATCACGATGATGATTTGTTCCTTTTACCGGAGGGAAGCATTTGTCCTGCTGCTCATCACATTCAGCTTTCCTTTTCTTTCAAATTAACTATTAGCTTGTGATGCTGGCACGTATAGCTTAGAACATAATTAGGATGTTCTTTTTTTTTTTTTTTTTTCTTTTTTTTCTTTTTTTCTTTTTTATAACATTTACAGAGCATTGCATTTTTTAATTGTCCACTACTGACTATGGCAATAATCCCCTGCAAGAGAACAAATAATTAAAAAGCGATGTAATAAGAGAACTGCTGCGTCTACCAGTTACGATGGAAACACTTTGAATCATCTGTTTCCCCAAATGTATTCAATCCGTGAGTAACTTATTAAAGATCAGCACAGACCCTTTCTTAGCCAGTCCAAATGAAAAATGACAAAACTTACATTTGTAACAGCTGCCGTAGAAATGCTGCATTCCGTTGTCCTAATGTGAGTTTGGGAAAAGAGAAAAATAATTTGCTCTGCTGTTAGGAGCCATTATAAGTGAGGAAAATTACCTTTGGCTCCTGTCAGAAGTGTGAGTATTTTGGATTAGGATAGAATGTCATGGGCACCGTGCAGAATTTGACAGTGGCCAGTCACAAATAATTAACGTTACCATGGCATTGCCCATATGATGCCACAGTGAAGTTAATTATGTGCAGTGGCATCACGGTAGTGATCTTGAAGATAACTGCTGTAGAAGAAATATTGGTGAGGAATTAAAAGACGTTTGGGAGCAAACCTCTTGTAAAAAAATATTCCAAAATGTGGTTGCAGCTTAGCAATAAAAATAAAAGAAGATTTTACCTTCTAGTTTTCCTTTTACTTAATAAAAGGCAGTACTTTGCTTGATGTAGGTTAGTGAGCTTGTAGGCTGTGTTACTGAACCCCTGAGTTACGGGGACTACATCATCTTCCAGAGCCCTTGAAGCTGGCAGCCCTGGATGGATCCTATCATCCTGGGACTGTCTCCAGCAAGAAGAGGGGGAGAGCACTGCCCCTGCGATCTGCTCCTCTCATAGCAGTCCTAGCTGATGAAGAAACACCTTTTTTGCAGGGTGAGGACTTGAAAAAGGACAAACTGTGAGCGCTGGCAGCCAGTAGATCTGGCAGCAAACTGAGGTGGCTTTGGAGGGTACATCCAGCTGTCAAGCCAGTGTCAGCGTCCTGTGTGACTGGAAAGATCACAAATACTTCTTGGCAAAAGGGCCACAAACTGACTGTGCAGCTGGGGATGTTTCCAGTTCCATTTCTTTGTAGGTACAGCTTCACAACTCTGAAGGGTGACCCTGTATGTTTAGCTGACCTTAGTCAACCTGATCTTTCAAGCTTCTTTCCCATCCTTTCCCTACCTCTTCATAGCTTGTCAGTATATTCATTACATTACAAAGATGGGAAGTCTGAATGTATCAAGCTTTGGTGCCTGTTCTCTTCCTCCTTTTATCTTGCATTCTTTAATGTTTGTGAGTCTCTATGTTGTCTGTGATGGGAGAACATCCATTAGTGTAATATGGAGCAGAGACCCCCACTCGTACTTCACTTCACCGTTGGAAATAGCATTGCACAGTTCCTGGTAAGAAAAAGGACCTGGGAGCAAATGCAGTGCCGGGTTAGCTTAGGGCTCATTTTTGATGGCTTTGGGTTATTTTTTTCAGTTTCTTTCATTTTCATTCTGCAGTGTGGCTGCTCGCTCTGTCTGCTGTACCATCTTCCGAGTTGGCTTTTTCCAGTGTTAAAAATGATGCTGTATTCTCCTATTCTGTACTTGTAGTTCCTGATCATTTTTGATCCGTCTCTTCACTGCTTTATATCTATACATGTTAAATCTCCTTTCCTTAACTCATACATCTCTCTGGTTTTTTTAGATGCTGCTTTGCTTTCTCTTCTGAAACATCCTCCATTCCATTCCCTTACATCATGTTCTTGTTTTATTGAACACCCCAGTTTAGTCATTTTATTAGTCAATATATGATAATGGTGGGAGCAGCAATGATCTGGGTCCAGTTTTGCCATTGTTCCATAAATCAGAGCCCTTTTGGGGGTATTGGTACTGGTAATGGTACTAAGGTATGGCTTCTTGCTTTGTGGTACTTGGTCTAGATGGGATGTCTTCAGTGCTATCCAGCAGCCTTGCAACTCAAACACTGCTCTGAATCCAGATTGTTGCAGTGTTTACACAGCTGATCACAAAGCTATGGCCTTGAACCAAAACTTATTCCCCACAGCTGATTGAGGAGTACTAATTTGCTGATATCCAGTATGAATGGTAAAAAATCCCCCTTCATAGGCTCTGAGCAGGTGAACTGATGTGCTCCTAAGGGATCAGATCCAGCTCTCAGAGGAGTCACTTACAGAGCAGTAGATGCTGCCTGAACTCATACCAGAGCAGAACTCTGGGCAGCCCATACAAAATAAGTAAGGTAGGCCCTTGTTCCCTCTTCCTTCCTTGTGTGGGTGTGTAACTCAGGTCAAAATCATATTTCTGGGGAAGAGAAGATCATCAACTGGTGTTCTGCGTGCACCAAGTCTGGCTGACGTCAGTGAAGCTCTGCCTGTTTCTGCCAGCACTGATTTTGACCCATTTTATTCAGTGTATGTTATATATCTTGGTACAAATGATGAAGCAGTGGCTTGACACAATCAATGATTCATAGTGGCAGACACCTCTGCAGTCCTCAGAGGATGTCTAGATCTTTCCAGAGCTGTGCTTCACCGAGAAACCACCTTGTTTTCAGCCCACAGTCATCTGGAAATGACCAGCTGGAGCTGGGAGGTCCAGGCGTTCCCTCCGGGCACTGAAAATCCCAACACCTACTTGTGAGCATGCTTTGTCTTTGTTGTACATTAAAGGAGAGCACAGATGATCTCTAGTATCCTGTGCTATGGGGGTAGCAAGTACCAAATGTTGTGTAGCTCTTGTGCCAGAAATGTGCCATACGGTGTGAACGTGTAGAAGCAGCAATTGCTCCTGTGGATCTCTGTGTTATCAAGCTCAGCCCTACATATCTGTGCTGGTTTTTCTTCTTCCTTAAAATTGCTCAAAAACATCTGTGCAACAAACAGCGTTGTTATGGTTTTCTTTGTTCATCTCCTTTGTAAGCATATTACTTCTGCAGATCCGGTTGCTGCTGTTACAGTGGTATTATTGTGGTTGTGTGTTGTATGGCATGCTGTTGTGATGAAGTGTCGTTCTGCTTTTCCCCCCAAATAATGGTACTCCAAGCTTGCTTCGTTTGCATTTGTAGGACATGGACTTCTCAGCAGACAAAGCCAAAACTGAACGTGTATAATGAACAGCACTAAAATATCCGCTGGCTTCCGGTCCAGTCACAGCCCAGCAAGGCAAAGAGCAAGCTCAGGCTCAGATACCAGCTTCAGTACTGAGCCCTGCAGAAGCTTTGATCAAAATACTTTGTATTTCCAGTTTAATTTGCTTTCCTCTGCTGAAAGAGGAAGAACAGTACCTGTTACTACATATCACTGCTTCTGTATAAACAGCGTATTATTTGCATATTGCTGTTAAATATTAAGCAGTGTTATATATTTTATAAGGCACCAATACAGCACTTTGAAGAAGAAAATTAAATGATAATGATGTTCTGTTTATATACTTTTTTGTTCGCTCCATTTTTTTTTCCATTTGAAATAGAAAACAAGTACTTGCTGTCTATATGCAGTTTTTACTTTTGATCTTGATTTTGTTTTTCATTCATAAGTAGCCCCTTGTTTTCTGACCCGGTGTCGTTGGAGAATCAAAGTGTTGTTTTTCCAGTTCTTTATCCAACTTCACACCAAAAGCACTGTGGATTTGGACTCCACCCTGTACCCAGACACTCTTCAGCATGAAAGAAAAGCAAATCTGTCTTTTAATAAGATGAAACCGAGTTAAGTAAACATCAGATTTGAATTGCCTGCTCGCTCTGGAGCTGTAGATTCACATCTTGGCTAAATAATTCCTAGTCCTTCATCCATTTGAAATGGAGATCTTGAGCAGCTTATAGTTTGTGGATCTTTTGAATAAGAGCTTAAAAGAATGATATCTTGTCTGTTATGCACAGCCAGTGAGGATGCATGATATTTTGCCACAGTTACCTGGCAAAAATGCTTTTCTCTTACCTGATCACATGCTGCCCTACTTGTCTACAGGATTTGTGCTTTCTGCTCTGCAGAGGCTCCTCTGTTACTGGGGCTGCGCTGGTAAGACACTTGAAGGCATTTGGAATTATGTTTTCTCTTTGTTGTATTGTCAATGATGATACATCCATTTGATGTTAGTTCAAAGCTAACTGAAGCTACTGAAACTTTTCAGAAACTGAGGGGACTGGATCACCTCGCCATGCAGAGGGAGAACTTGTGGTGAGAATGCACTGTGTGTTACTTCCATAGTGGAAAAAAATCAAGTGAAAACTCTCTTTTTTTTCCCATTAAAAAAAAAAAGAAAACATATAATTTGTCCCATGAAAGATAGACCAAGGGCAGTCTCCATTAGTATGCATTAGTATTTCCCATTCAGCACTTTCCTTCAGCATACAGGTCAAAGGAGAATGAATGTGTGCATGACCTACATCCTTCAAAGATAGGGCAAAGTATTATTTTCCTAAGGGCAGCAAGGTCTGTCCTCTGACTGTCCTCTGAGAGACTTTATTTTTCATGTTCACAGAATCGACGACTGTTTTTGTGCATCTCGGAAACTGGATGCAGTTGCCACTGAAGCAAAGTTCAAGCAGGACCTGGGCTTCCGGATGCTCAACTGTGGCCGAACGGATCTGGTTAAACAGGCCATAGCCTTGCTGGGGCCGGATGGGATTAACAGCATGAGTGAACAGGTAACAAGACAGAAATGGAAAGAAGAAATGAAACGTGAGAGTTTTTTTCTGTTTATCAAAGCAAATGAGCCCAAATGTTAACTAAGTATAGTCAGGACCTTAATGCTTTCCCTGTGTTATTTTGCATTGAGTTAAAGCCCCACCAGCTGAGCAACTAAAGTTTGGTCATATCAGGTCATACTGATTATTTAGAATTGAGGTAACTCAGAGTGAGGGTGAATATGTTTCCTGGAATCTTCTTAACAGAAAAGTGAATCAGTTGAAGCCAGGAGATCAGAAGAGAGCTTAGTCTTGTTCTGAATACTTAAAGCAGTTTTAATGTGAGGCAGAGCTTTGTGAGGTGGACATCTTCCAATAGAAACTGCCCTGGGATTTGCAACACATTTCACATACAGCACCCCAGCAGGAGAAGGTTAATCGCTGGCACTCTGAGTTGAGCCCTGTTTGAACTGGTCTTCTAGATGTGAAAGCCTCTCTGCAATGTTACCACTCCATTAGTCTTTGTGGCCAATATCCACCTACTGAGGAACCTAGATTTCTCTGGAGTTACTTCTCCATGAGGCCAGTGCTTGCGTTGAGGGATGAACCTGCCTCTGCAGTTGCCTGCTGGCAGCAGTCTGTTGGACTGTGATGCTGGGAAGGTCATTCCCCATTCCTGTGAGGGTAATGATGGACACAAATATTATGGTTTCCTTTTGAAGGGAATTTCCCCGAATCTTCTGATGCCCCAGGATGAAAGTCATGGTTGGGTTGTGAGTTGGTTTAATTCCTCTGAAAGGAAAGCTTCTCCAGAAATGTGAGTTATGTTGAATTCAGGAGCTTCAGTTTGAGTCAGTATTATGACAGATTTACTTGAGAGAAGCTTTAGAAGAGGGCAGTGCTCGCTGCAAAAAAGATTGTGTTAGAGAGCCCATTCTAATGTTCAAACATTATACTTAAAAAAAAATGATTATTATTTTAACTTAGTCTGAATCTGGAAACTTTTTGCAGCATATTTCCTCTGTCCTCCAGGCTGAAAGCTGGGAACATTCTGCCTTGATGAATCAAAGTGCTTAATCACATGCTTAACTCTGAACACATGCTTACATCCCGTTTGAGTGAAAGTTCTTAAATGCTTCCCTGAACCAGGCATCTTGCAGGACAGAGCCAGAAGTTATACAAGGCTGAAAGAAAAAGAGTCATTTTTATTTTGCCAAAACCCTAATGCCCTAGGTGTTGATTTTTCATGTTGTTACCATGTTCCTGTGTGCGTAGAGCAGTAATGATGGGCTCATTAAAATCCCATTCCTCCCACACGCAAAGAGAGGGTTTTGAGGGATGCTGAAAGGCTGAGCTGCAGATCAAGCCTGGGGATAGGCAGGAGGGACAGCAGTGCAAGGGGAGGGAGTTTGGAAACAGTGTAAAACCCTGATACCACAGCATGAATTCAGGGCCCCTTTTTGTCAATGGTAAGTCTCTCATCAGTTTCAGTGGGTCCAAAAGCCATGTGTGGCACACAAGAGTTGCCATGGGGCTCCTGGCTGTGCAAATGCTGGGTCATGTAGGTTTTCAAAGTCGTGTGCTAAATGCTTGATTTAATCATTGACTGACACCATTTAGAGAATTTGAAATAATAATTTAAGTCACCGCAATTTTAAGCCACCAACCAGTCACTGTGTTTCAAGGCCCAAGCATTTTTTTTTGTAGTTCTGGTGGACTCATTTTCGCTGGTACTGTTTGTTAACTACCAAAAGAAGTATTTTGCCACTGACTGTAGCTGAAGTTGTTTCAAATTCTCCTTGCAAGTAACTTCAAGTCACCCACACCTGTCCTTGCCTGGGGTGAAGCTGTTTCTTAATAATAGCAGGAGACCCAAATTTCTTGTTCCCTTTTGCTGTATCTCCAAAAGCGTACTGCTCCTTGCACTTAAAGGAAACTGTGTCTACCTTGCAGGGACAAACCATAATTTTTATTTTCTCTACAATACTTCCACATGCAAGTGCCTGCTACCTTCAACCCAGTGTGCAAGCAGAAAGAATGGGTAATTCAGCAAAAGCAATGGTATTGGGCTCTGGCCAGGAAGAGCAGTGGCATGGTCTGTGTCTGGCCATGCTGGGCACCTCCTGTGCCTCTGAAAATAATTTCACTTTGTGGCAGCTCTCAGATTAAACAGTGAATCTGCTGCCAGCTGACTGGAATTTTACCAGAGAACCTTGAGGGAGGCTACAAACACACATCAGAGGTAGCCACATGCTGCAGTAAATGTACTGCAAAACAACTGGTGGCTGTTGGTCAACACCACCTACTATATTTAATAAGCAGCCTTTTCTATTATAATTTATGGTAGATTTAATGATTTTTTCATCGTTTCATCTAGATGCATTACCACAACCATAATAAAACTTATCTCAAGGGAAACGGTGACCAGGTGCTGCAGGTATTTTAGACTAATACAAATTGTGTCCCCTATAGTGAGGGGTCAGTTAATCTAGTTCTCCTCCAAACAGGGACACGCTTTCCTGGAGACAGCAGCTGTTTAGCATTTCATTTAAAGTTAAGTCTTTGTTTACTAGAGAGCGCAATACAAATCATTTGCATCTCCAGTCCCTCATGGTATCCATATGGAAAAAACTGTGCCCAAATCTACTTTGTAATAAGAGGAGCTTTGGATGTTTTTAAAGGCTCTGTCAGTAATTGAAAAGATTTTAAGAAACAGTGATCATAAAAAACTGAATAAGATTATAAGTTTTAAAACTATCAGTGGGTATATGGTTGTTTTGATAAGAACATTTCTCCATGGGGTCCCACAGAAAAGGCAAAGATGCTGAGTTTTGTACATAAGCATGGAGGTGAGGCTTACAGGGGGTATTTCAGTGGCTACATTGAGAATGTCAAGGGTAACACGGAAACAAAACAGCCAAAGTGACAATGAAAATGGAGATTTTACAAAATGGTTTGCTTTTGTTAGTCTGAGGGGCATGACTGTAATGGATTTCATTAAATACATACTGTTAGTTTTAATGATATATACTTAACTAATTATTTTTTAAAAATCAGAAGAGTTCTGTGTTAAATTTGTCAATTCCTTTGTTTTTTAACTCCAAAAAATGACTAGGGCATGACTCCACTGATGTATGCTTGTGTCAGGGGTGATGAGGCTATGGTGCAGATGCTGCTAGATGCTGGAGCAGATCTGAATGCTGAGGTGAGGACTTTTTGTTGGTTGTATCTTTGTTCTGTTGTTTGTTGACATCTTAAACTACCCCCTGAAACAGTAGCAGAGGGAAAATCCCAAGAAATAATAATAAAATTACCTTGTCCTGGACACAACTTGAAATGAATAGTGAAATCAGACTGCATTAGGTTAACATTTGGATTCACTTCTCAGAAAGGGTCAAGTCATCGGACTTACCCCACAGGTAATTTTTAGTTAGTTGTATTTACATACTGCAAATGAAAACGGGCGTTAGCATTAGCACAGAGCACAGCTCTGATAGTAATGGAAGGAATCCCTGAACCTCAGCTGAGTAGAAATGAAGAGGGTAATAGAAATGTCTGTCTGATAGCCTGGTACAGCTTGTGCGTTTGTATGTCTTGGGATGTTCCGTCTAAGCATCCCCAGCACACAAGTGCAGTGTCCCCTGCTTTGTTTTATGAAATGCTTTGGTCTGAAAACTGTTGAATGAGGAGCTTGAAGCTTCCAGAATATCAACGTCTCTTTGATGAATGCACATCAAAAACTTACAATCTGTCCACCAAACAGATTGTGGTCCGACTCAGTGCAATGCAGGTATGTACATTTTTTAAAAAGCTGCTTGAAAATCCGCAAGAGAATTATTTGTTAATGATTCCGGTTTCAATTTGTGGAGGTCATGAGTAAATTAAGCTGTCTGCTTCACTTATCTGTGTTCCATCTGTTCTGTTTGGATTTGAATGAGCTAATAAATTGTAGGTGCTGCTTTCAGCCAGACATTTTGCACTTCTAAAACATTGAATTTAAAAGCAGAAATAGATGTCACCTGTACGAGACTGATAGCTGTTACTATCTTACTGCTCTTTGGTGTCTTGCTGATGATTTCTTGTGGAATCCACTCTCACCTCTTCCTTCCCACAATTCAAGTGAGCTGCTGTCGGAGCCAGCAATAACTGAGCATTTGAACCCTTGTTAGCACTGTAGATAGACAGACCAAAGAATGGATGAGCATGGGCTGATCTCTCCTGCTGCTGTGATCCTACAGCTCAGAGCATTATCTGGTTATCACTAGGAGCAGAAATCCTGGCCCTTCCAATTGGGCCAGTAATCTTCCAGACTTGAACCAAATGTAAATTTAAACAGTTTTGTCTTCCTGAAACTGCTGACATCTGAAAGAACAGCTCCAGTGAGAAATTTGAACCTCCCTGATTCATTTCTGTAGAGTGTTTGCTCTCAAATCAAATGAAAACACTTTGGGACAAGAACTATGAATAATTATGGTGTGCAATTAGAAGATGATTTGTGCACACCACAACCAACTGTGCAAATTGGGCAATTACGGCAAAAAAAGGCAAATCAACCATGAACGAAAATAAATACCCTGTCAGGTGCCTGCATCATTTTTCTTATTTCACTTTGCAAATCAGTTATATATATATATATTTCCAAAAGTAGCCTCAAATGCTGGGTGCCTCCATTTTTGATTGCCCGTGTTTATCGAAAATGGACTCATCTCCAGATGTGCTGAGAAGCTGCAATCCACTTTGGAGTCAGTGGGACCTGTAGATGCACAGCAAATCTCAATTGAGGTTTTAAAAACTCAACCAGCCACATGTCTTTTGCAAACACCATGTCAACTGAAGAGAATTGCAATCAAAAAGGAGCAAAGGAGTTAAAATGACTTCATTTTCTTTGCCGCTTGCCACGAGCTGCCCCAGACAGCAGTGGGAATTCATGCTGAAGGAGGAGATGCTGGACACTTATCTCCCTCTGCTGCTCTTGCTCCCCAGCCTAAATCTCTAGGCACCAACTGCTTGATCCTCTTCCTCCTTAGCAAACCCAGACCTGAAGAATTCCTGCAGCTTTGCTCAGACACCAGCAGGCTTCTCCAGTTGCACCAGGGCTTGCAATGTGCTGGTCTCTACTGGACTGTAAAAGAGAGAGGGGCACTTCAACCCCCTCTCTTTGGCAAATCTGAGTGATGCAGCCAGGCTCTGGAGCAGATCCACTTTAATTGTGGGATCTGTACAGACTCTTCTGATTTTGTCCTCATCCCTTGTTCTCAGGATCGAGGGCCTGGTTAGATGCTTCTAACAAAATGCTGCATGTGGTGCTTGGAAATGTGATCTGCTCATGGAACTAAGCATTTAATAACTAGCCTTGCTTCCCTACATGTTTAAAAGTATGTCAGACAAGTTAGTGAAAGCATAGTTGGCTGACAACACAGTGAGGTGATGCATCTTTTACTCTTGATTTTAGTCCTCATTCTAAGATGAATAACAAGATTTTGAATTTTGGTATCACACTCCATCTGAGTGTGCAAGCTCAGATTGCAAATGTTCATTAGATATTTCCATCTCTGTGAACCTCATCAATATTAATATCCCCATCTTTAAGACAGGGACACTGAAGCAGAGAGTGGTTATTCATCTTTCTCAGTGTCTACATTAGAGGAACCAGGAACAAAACCATAGAAAATGGAAGGAGCAATGTAAAAAAATACCGCTTTTTCTGAGAATATAGTTTGCATCTCTTTTAACTGAAGCCACCCTACTCTGTTCTAACTCAATTCAGACAGGAGAAAGCAATAAAAAAGACTTTTCTTAAAATGTCTGTGAAATGTCACTCTGCCCCATCAGTTCTCAGCTGTCATTTTCCCTCTGGTGGAAGAGGAGGATCCTGGAAGCACTGCTGGAAAACTCCAGGGCAGGGACTGTGATGTGTCTTCCTTGATGTCAACGACAAAAGTCATACCAGTTTATGTGGAGAGAATTCCTTTGGGCCTGAAGCAATTCCAAGAGCTGGGGCTGTTGATACACAGTCTGCAGAAGTCAGTGGGAATGGTCCTTAGCCATAAGTGTCCTGATCCATCCCTGCTCCCCCAACGTGCGCTGCTGTAAACAACTGTGGATGTTTTGACCTTGTGCAAAAGTGGTGGCCAGTGGTTTAGATGGAGCTACAGTAGTTGGTAAAAAGACTTCATTTGGTATAAAGCTATTCAAGCTGTCAAATCAGCATAAACAGTTTTAGTATTAAGAAATTTTTTTGCTCGACAAAAATGAAACCAATCATTTTCTAAAGCACCTTTCCCAGGTTTTCTATTTCACTTACTCCCTCACGTGCCTGGCTTTCAGGCGGATTGATTTTATTACACTTTAAAAAAAATAACTTTAATTTGTTTGTAGGTTGTCAGTACTGCTCATAAATACCCATCCGTCCACCCTGAGACCCGCCATTGGACAGCTCTGACATTTGCTGTGTTGCATGGACATATTCCTGTAGTTCAGGTATTATTGTATTTCCCTACCTGCATCTCATTCTTTTGTTTCTCCTCTTTAGTTCCAATTACACCCATCTCAAACCAGTATCCTCTTGTCATACTCATATTGGTTACTTCTGCTTCTTCTAGAGTGTACTGATATATAATAGACATATTATATAACAAATACGGTGTTCAAACCTTAACCAATATGAGGTTTAAATAGGACAATTTTAAAGCAAACTTGCACCAAAGAAAGTCTGACAACTCCTTGTGCTCCTTCCTGACCACTTGTTTTGTGTGTTTGTTTATTCATTCATTACACTTTCTTACGCTATAAAACTCTAACAAATACCAGACGGCTGCCTTGGTGGGGAGAGGCAGACAGCCACAGCCATCGCTCTGTCTCAAAGGGGAGAAGCTCTCAGTCTCCTTACCCAAGCAAGGCGTTGCGTGGGATATGCTGGTTCTCTGCTTTGGCATCTCAAAAGTCAAGAAGGTTTATTCTTCAAAACAGATGTGTCTGTGGCACATGTAACGAAGCTTTGTTAAAACTTTGAAAGCCTAAAGACATAAATGGCCAAGAGCGGCTAGAGGGCAGGCTCTATCCTGCTCTCCTTGGCCACTTTTGTTTTCAGCGTTGTCACTATTCATGTGGATGTGTACCTGATGGAAACCACAGCTTTTGGATCCATTGCTGCGATTTGTTCTTAATGATTGCCTTTCTTTGGCCATGTCTTTATAAAAAAGATGGAGGCAATTGAAATCTGTTCCATTTTAAGTTGGTCCTCAGCTTCTAGAAGACCATAAAGGAAGGATGCTTGTTGGGCTGATATTCAGTATTTCCATCTTCAGTGCATTACTTCCTAACACCGACCTTATTCGCATTTCCCATTCAAAAACACTGGGTTACACTTTTTTGGCTCTGAGCTTGGACACTAGTGTTCCTGGTGTCTGGCAATGTAAAATGAGCGAAAAAAGGAATCAATTTGCCTCTGTAAAATAATGGGCAGAACTTGCATGTCACTTGTCTCCATTGTATCTGGTTTGCAGATAACGAGAAGCATTAGACTCTCATTCGTCACTGTTCATGAACTCTTGAACACTGTGGCATGCCCAGTTGCTCTAAATGGTGAATTTTCTTTCTAGTTGTTGTTGGATGCTGGAGCAAAAGTAGAAGGTTCCTTGGAGCATGGAGAGGAAAACTACTCCGAAACTCCTTTACAGTTAGCAGCAGCTGCCGGTAAGGACTTTCTCCTCCATCTGTTATAAATTCTTCAGTTGAGGTCTGTGATTTAGATGAGCAAACAGTAGGTTTTAAAAGAAGTAAAAGTGCCTCTCTTGAATTGCAGGAAATTTCGAACTGGTCAGTTTGCTGTTGGAGCGAGGAGCTGACCCTATGATAGGAACAATGTACAGGAATGGCATTTCCATGACTCCACAAGGTGACATGAACTCTTTCAGTCAGGCTGCTGCGCATGGACACAGGTAGAGTGGGAACAAGTCTAGTGGCATCCTTCACGTGATTGTTTTTTTCCTCGGAGTCTGGTTTGAGCAGATGGGTGAAAGTTCTGCATGAACAGTCAAACAAGCCACCAACTGAGCAGAGATGTAAGGCTTTTCGCTAGCATGTGAATTTAACCAGTTGGTGATACAATCTGCTCTTTTGTATCTGATTGAAAAAAGAGGAAGGATACTCCTTGTGGTGTGTTGTAATGTGATGTTTGTTAAATGGTAGCTGATGTGATGGTGGGAAGGAATGCCGAAGACATTCCTTCTGAATTTCTTGACATATTTCTGAGGTTTGGGGTGAATTGTGACTGTACTGCTGCAGCCTTCACTGTCATTGAACAGAGTTTCTGCATCCGTGTTTACCGTTAAGTCCTGTGTGCTTTAATGTTGTATGTATGCTGCGATTTTTTTAAAGACAGTAATGAAATGAGCACCTGGCATGCATGATCTTGCAATGTTCAGGAGTTTACTGCAGTGTGATGGATTAGTATTATGATCTTCACGTTCCTGCTTTTCTGATTGTAGCCATCCAGAGGAACATAGATACAGGTTAGAGACAGTACCTACCGTCTGTTTGCTTAGAGAAGAGCTGCCAGTGTAACAACATGCTCATGGCATGTCAGGGCGGGTTCAAACAACACTGCCCATCTGGAGCCTGCGAGGGATCTCTGGGAGGACAGGCAGGACAATTTGTTGCTGGATTCTTACCTTTACTGCTCAGGCCTTGGTGCCAGCTGGTCTGAGTGGCTGCCACATGCCTGAGGAGAACCTGAGGCTCTCCAAGGCTTGGCTGCTAACTGTTCACGTCACAGACCCACAACTTCTGAGAACTGGCTCTTGCACTCCAACTTCTACACTGCCCACACAGGCTCCCTTCTCTTTCCCTCTCTCCCCAAGCCAGCATTTGTTTGGTACGCCCCATGGCCTGCTGCCACCCCATGCCAGGTTCCGAGCGGGTGTGGGGAGAATGTCGGAGTATGATGGAGGTGGGATGGTGGCCAGTTTGGCTTCTCTTCTTATAGTCGTGGAAACCAAGAGCAACTCCTTTGAGATTGATGAGTTCATGCTGGTATGAACCTGAAGGTACCAAGCGTCTGGCTGAATTTGGGCTTTGGTGTGTCATGGCCCGGATTTGATCACCCAGCCAGAGCAGTCCCTGATGTGCTTGAACCTGCCCTGACTGGCCTTGTTGAATGTCTAGTTGCTCTAGCTTTCCCAAACTGCTTTGAGTGTTAATCGAATGGTGGTGCTTTCGGTAGCTCCAGACAGCTCCCTTCTCAAGTGGCCTCCTTGGTGAAAGTCTTGAGAGCTTGTCCAAAGACAGTTCAACCTTAACCTGATGGTGGGGCAGGTGCCAGAAGTCATGAGACGCGTGAGAGTCACGTTTAGCTCATGGGTTTGTGTTCCCACAAAGTTCGTGCCATTTGTTTGACGTCTGTACAGTTGCTGTCATTACAGCAGCATCTTGCAGTCGTGGTCTGGTGGGCTAACAGGTGGGCTATCAGGAGTGGTGCTTGCTCTAGGACTGATGTAAACTATTCAATTAATTGGAGTAATTTATGACCTGCCTGCTGGATAGGTGTCCTGCACCAAACACCATCACCACTAACTACTCTCCTGCTCTCTCTTTCCCTGCCTCCCTCTCTGTGTCATGCTGTAATTGCCAGGAATGTCTTCCGTAAGCTACTTGCTCAGCCAGAGAAGGAGAAGAGTGATATCCTGTCACTGGAGGAGATACTGGCTGAGGGGACAGACTTGCCCGACTCTGCAGCAGCTCCACTTTGTGCCAGCCGCAACAGCAAGGCCAAACTGAAAGCCCTGAAGGAGGCCATGTACCACAGTGCTGAGCATGGATATGTGGATGTGACCATTGACATACGGAGTATAGGTCAGTGCAGGTGCCCTTGCTTCTCTGCCTCACCAGAGACACCACTGTAAAAAATGTGTCTTTCATGTGCTGCTGCTTAAACTGACCGCAGCTGTGTCTCCTGAACTTCTGTGGAGGTGGTAATTGCAGGGGGTTTCCCAGCAGGTTTGTGGGTGAGGATGGGGAAGGTAAGTTCAAGCCAGCCCAGGCTTAAAGCCAAGGCTCTCGGAGCTTCTCTGAAGCCAGTTAAGATTGCTGCTGCCTAAGTAACTGCAAAATAGGGCAACTGCTTTTTATGTCAAATCGTGTGTGCTAAACACACTCTAGGAGCAGTCCTTTATTTTCCATCCTTCATCTGGAACGTGATAGGGGATCCTGCAGGTTCCGGGGCCATTTTAGCTCCACAGCATATCCTGCTCTGCAGGACAGCATAGTTTCTACCAGCAGCCATCTTCACTCCTGCTTAGCAGAGTGTTAGCTAAGTCTCTAGGGCAGTGTTTGTCTGCTGCTTCCAACAGCTTCTCTTTTGCACTCTGCCATAGTGCAGTCCACAGTTTAAACATCTTTCTTTTCGAAGGTTTATGAGCCTTTGAGGGGAAGAGCAGTGAACTGGCTTCTCCGTGTGCTAACTGTGCCAGCATGGAGCTTGAGCATCGTAGGAGCCTGTTTGGAGTCTGCTTCTTCTCATGGCAAGAGCGGTCAGGAACACAGGAGGGAATAAATCTGGACTATGTGTCCGTTATTCTGTTCCCAATCTCCATTAATCTTTCCCCAGAGAGAGGGCAGCATGCCTGGTGTGCCTCCATGCAGTGCAGCACTCCAGCCCTGGGGACCTCTTGCCTGTGTCAGGGTGTGCATTCTTGGTGTGCCAGGTGCACTGGGCAGGCAAAGCTCTATGTGCTGAGCGAGAGGAGAGAACCAGAGCTGCTCTTAAAGTGCTGGGCATTTGCTGAAATGGAAGGAAAGTACTTCTGTTGCCAAACCCTGGGCTTGTGTTTCCTCCCACTCTGTTCTGCAAGAACAGAAACTAGGTCACGTCCAGCCTAATGTTTGGAGTACTATATTAACTTTGTGTGTTTTCTCATTCAGTGCAGGGAAACATTTCCCTTTAAGTTCCTAGAGAGTGGTTCTGCCATGACAAACAGCTACTTGAAAAGGCTAATCTCCTTAACTCACTCAGTGCTGTTTAGGGGAAATAGTAATGATCAGTAGAGGACATGGGGTAGGGCTTACAGAAAGTTGTAATCTGAAGACCACCAGTTTGAATACAGGTAGGTAGTGACCAAAATCTTTTTTTTTCCAGTCAATGGCTCTTCAGGGCCACATTCGAAGAAATGAGCTTGTATAAATCTAGTTTCCAAAAGGTTTTTGCGTCGCAGAGCACCACAACAATTACCTCAAATTGGCAGTCTCAGCAGAGAAGCTGAGGGCTAGATGAGCAAAGAGACCACAATCTTCTCTTAGCACTTGGAGGAGAGCCTCTGTGTATTAGGTCTGGGATGTCTTCATAACCACCCGCCTTCTCAGCTGTGGGTAAATAGGAATTTTATTTCTATGGTTATTCAGTAGTTTTTGCTTAAAATCTGAAGATTAAGACAAGTGAAGGTAGAAATAGTAGAAGGGCACATCTTTCTCTGGAGCTGAGAGTGAGCTCTGTCTTCTGTCTGCAGGTGTTCCCTGGACACTGCACACATGGCTGGAGTCCTTGCGAACATCCTTCCAGCAGCACAGACGACCCCTCATCCAGTGCTTACTAAAGGAATTCAAGTCCATTCAAGAGGAAGAGTACACAGAAGAGCTCATCACACAGGGGTTGCCTCTGATGTTTGAGATACTGAAAGCCAGCAAGGTAGGATAAATTATGTATTCTAAAGGAATCAGCCTCATTCTGATCCTGTACAACAGAAACTGCAATAATGTTTTTGCACAGCGGTCCCAAAGCTTGTTTAGAGCTCTATAGGATTATTACTTTTGTACTGTGTATCTCATTTATCTTTACTGTGGAATCATGGGTTAAAAACACACAAGCTAATTACATCTCCCACTACAACAGCTTAATACTGATGCTAACAATGAACTGAGAAGACAACAGGAGTTAATGCATAGTGGTGAAATTAAAATCACAGGGGTCACTGCAGCACATCAAGAGATGCTGATAACCAAACCAACCCAGAGACTAACCTCACCCAGCTTTTTTTACAGCACCATGCAATAAAACTAATGCTCATCCTTGGTTTGCTTTGTATTTATCTAACCTCTCACATGATTTTCTTTTCCCTTCATGTGGGATTGTGAGTTCTATTCTTCCTTCTTGTGAGGAGATGGGTTTCTATGAGAACACATGCAGAATGATTTTTTAAAATCCTGTATGTGTGTCTACTTGCAGCCTCCCCAGATTTGTTCTTTCAGTTCACATCGTCTTAGCCAGATACATCAGACTAACAAAACCTTTTGAGGGAGGAAGGTACCATTAGGTACATGAGTAAAACAGCAAAGAAGAGATGATCGTTGAGCAGGAAGGAGAATGAAGGTTGTTTTTTTTTCTTAGTGTTAGCGTACATGTTGGTACAGTTTTCTATTTGTTAAACTGGGAAGTAACATTTCTCGCCCAAGTCCACATGCAACAGCAAGGAGCAAGTATTTTTAGCACCTACAGCAATAACCTAAATAATGTGAAAAGAAGAGAACTCTGGTACAGACTCTCCATACTAAAGGATTCCAGGCACAGTCTAGTTAGTGAGAGCTTACATGGATTTATTGTATACTGATGCAAATGCGGGCTTGGAGTACAGTCCTGAGCAAGTACTGAACATTTATCCCACCAATTGTTCTGATACCTGCTCCCATGAATTTTTCCTTTGGGGATAGTCTGAGGTTGGTTTGTATTACATGGGTATTTATGGAGAATATTTAGAGATATCTTTCAGAAAATCATTCCAAATCCTCGGATTTGTAGTCTGAACTGCCTTGGGTTAATACACATTCATCCAATAACTGACAGCAAGGTGCTGTTTGTTTTGAAAGCTGATATAAAACTAATCTTATTGGAAAACTTAATGGAGATTAAGTTTAGGCCCTGTAATCTAGGATGAGGGATGGCTTTAGATGCAGTTCTCCTGGGTGGCTGAAGCCAAAGCCAATTGGTTTATAGATGATTGTCATTAGAATAAGTTATTTACATAGGATCATACCTTTTGGAGATGTTAGACTGGGTCATCTGGAGTGTCCTCTAGGAGACATGGCAGCCAATGAGACTGCTACCTTCTGCTTTGGGTTCACTTAAAAACTACCATGTGGAGGAGTAAAGCAACTGATATATCACACACACAGAAAAAGTATGATTAAAAAAATCGGTGCTGATCTTTGTTCCTGCCTCTGGGCCTAAAGGAGCTTCCCATCTTCACTCTTCATGAGCATGCATATTCACAACCACATGCACTTACAGTGCTTCAGATTCTTCGAAAAATAATGAATCATTTGGGGATGCTGTAAGGGCTTACAAATTGTCTGCAAATGGCTTGAAGTCTTGCCCAAACGGTCTCCCACAAAACTCTTAGAGACAGAAATGAGGGCAGACTCTGAGCAGCTCTTTGGAAGGAATCAAAATAAATTCATTTGCAGAAGAAGGAGACAATAAAAGTTCTCCCTGGTCACTCCACATAAGTCAGACAAGGAAAGCTGAGATTTAAAGGATCCGCTCTTCTAGGAATGCTGAGAGCAGATACTGTTCTTTGTATATACCCACAGAATGGAAATCTCCTTGAAGAGGTACAGAATGGCTATAGCTGTGGTTCATGGCCCTCCCTTTCTGCAGTGAAAAAAGTTCTGCATTTTGTGGAGTTGTCAGGAGAGGATTTTGATTTGTCCATGTGGGCATCCTTTTTCCTGTGGGCCGGGAACTTTGAGATTACAGCTCTTGCTAGACATCGCAGTCTGTCCCAGTACATTTCCTTAATGAGTTTTTCAGGGCAAAAAATATATAATAGGCAACTGGAAAGCACAAAGCCACTTAGCGCTTCTCGGCTGATGTAAAACAAGATGTCCCATTTGCTACATATTGTGATGCTCAGTATATTTTAATTGCATGGCAACTTGTACCTAATTGAAATGGCATTTCACAGTCCTATAAGTAGTCCCAACTATCCTGCAGTCTCAGAACAATTTACAAATATTAATGAGTTGAGATATGGAAGAAGATCTTAGCCTCCTTTTCTGAACAAGGAAACAAAGGTAATTAAACAGGCAGATTTTCAATGCCTTACAGAGTTGCAATCTCAACTTCAGAAGCTGTGACAACCTGGCTAAGCCAGACATCAGTTTATAATTTGAGTAATTGGCTTGAGAGACTCTCCAGAAGTTGCACAGAAATGTAGATCAGATCTCTGAATAGGAAATGGGTGTTCTACCCCAGCTTCCACTTGCACTGTAGGACAAAATGTTCTTACTGGTTCACGGGATATGCAGAAAGGGCAGGTATTGTAAAAATGAAAAGACTAAAGAAAAAGTTCTATTTACAAGGACATGACCAGATAAAAGGAATGCCTTTTGTCTTACAGATTTTTTTTTTAAATACCCACACCTAGAGGGTCTCAGGGTCCAAATGTGAGAACTTGGATGGGATCTCTGCCACCACCACTGATGTGAGTGTCCTGGAGCCCAGTAGATTGGCATTTATATGACAGGACACCAATGATGGAAAGGAAAACAAAAATAATATTTTCTGAAGCTCTGATGCTGGAACACAGAGCAGTAACAAGAATTAGCAAATCAGGCAAAACTGCCTGAACTGCAGTTCCTAGAGTTACTGCCTCTCCTAAAGCTGTGAAATAGGAGGGGAAGAACAGTTAATAAATTGCATTTTGGTCAATCACCACTGCACTGAAGCCCTGGGGAAAGACTTCCAAAGGCATAAATGAGGATTTGGTACCCAGCCTCCTGGTGGCTGCCAGTAGGACTGAGCACTTTCATTTCCTTTCATGCCTTTAAATGTTTTTATCAGCTGCTTTGCTCAGAATTGATTTGAGAGTGGAGGAATGAAGTATTTCCATGCAGCTGAGGCAAAGCTACAAGAACAGGCAGATGGCTTTGTCCCCTCTGCTGTCCTGCAGTGGGGACAAATCCCTGCCAAACCAAAGACCAGGCAAGGTGCTCCAGGGGAGGCAGTGGTGGTGGAAGGGACGTGGAGAGCCTTGTTTAGGGCACTTCCCTAAGAGAAGGCAAAATTCAGATTTAAAACTTTGAGTGAAGCTGTGCTATTCACTAAGGGGATTTGGGCCACTGGATGAGGAGGAAAGGCTTTCTCATTTTGGGACTGACTGCTCTCTGAGGGAGATGAGCTCATGGACAGTCTGCTTAAATTAGTTTGGACAGGGCTGCATGTGACAAAAGCTGGAGAGACTTTTCTGGGAGCAAGTAGCCCTGAGCTAAACTTGGGCTGCTGTACAGGGCAGGATTGAGTCCCTCAAAGCTAAGATGACATTGGAGATCTTGTGAAAGAAGAAAACAAGAAGGTGCAACTGAATTGCTGCCTGTCAGCATCTGTATCACATTCTTCATGGCCTGAGGAATCCCTCCAGACTTCTTACTGGGCCTTCTTGTTTGCCTATAGCCAAGGCTGATGTTTTCATTGCCTGAGCTTGTCTCTGAGCTGAATTGACATCCTGTCCCATGTCATAGTGCCCCACATCTGCTTGACTAGTGTAATTGTGGGCTGGTGGCAGCACTGAGTTTGGGCCCCTCAAATGAGAATTTAAGAAGAGTCTGGTGGAGGAAGCACTCAGATTTATGGACTTGTAGTGCTTGAGGTGGGGCTGGCAGGTCAGCCACAGGCAGGCACAGTGATCTCAGGCCTTACCCTCAGGCACAGAGTAGCCTAACTGCATGTGATAACAGCTAATAGCCATTCTCCTATGACGGTGGGCAGCAACCAAAGGGAAGAAAACCTGCGGCTGTCCAGAGCACGTACACATGCATACAGAATCATTGAATGAGGTTGGAAAAGACTTCTCAGATCATCTAGTCTAACCATCAGCATTTGGAAGAGGTTGGTTTTAGATTTCCACTCTTGAGGCTCAGTGTGAGCTTGCATCGTAATTAAATCAGCCAGCTCCATCCATGCAGATGAGCCAGCTCCGTCACCAGCAGTACTGGGTGGTGGCCAGTTTTGTCCACTGCTTTTTCTGTATGCAGCAATTTAGATCAGATTGTCTCTGGCCTAGTTTTTGGAGAAAGAAAATAATCTTTTAATTTCAAGTAATCTCTTGCATAGCTTTCTCCCTCCCACCCATGTTACGGGCATGGAGCTGCTATTTGCCATTTCTTTGAATACTTTGGGGGAACTCATTGGCAGAGTTTCTTAACTGCACATTAGAAGTGCACATGCTGAAATTTTGTATGAAGCCCCGCCTGGCTCTGGAAGTGCTTTACACCAGGAAACCTTGGCTTAGGACTACGAGTATTGCTGCTAGTGTATTGCCCAGGGCAAAAACAACTTGAAAAATCGTGGTAGGTCCTTCACTGCCCTTTCTCTGTAGCGTTCATCCTTCCCATCGGGTTCTGTTAGTAGTTTATTTTGAAAAACAGCCCATTAGTGAGGTGTTGATTACACTGTGCATTAAGACTTGATGAAAGATGCAGGAAACTGTTTGCAAAGGTGTTTCCTCAGAATTTAAAATTCCTGCTGAGCTTCACACACACTCCATATGCATCTGTAGGCAGCTGAAGAAACCCGCAGGAATGCACAGAGTTATTTGGAAAGTTGAGCTGTTTGAAAAACAGCCATCAATACCATGTTGACAGTTATTTAGAATAAATAACAATTTAAAACAATAGCCAGTTTTTTAAAATTCC